AATGTCGTTCAATAATAATGATTAATGCACACTAATTTATGTCGTTAAACATAAGCACTAAATTATGTAGTACAATATTAACGATTAAATTAATGCACACTTATTTATGTCGTTCAATTCCAGTCTGATAAGAAATATTATGAGAGTTTTTTTTCATGTAAATCCAGAGTGTCAAAAAGCCCATGCTCAGTATAAACAGAGAAACAAAATATTTCATGCATCCATGTACATAAAAAACAAGTAAGTATAATATAAAACTAAATCAATACATTTGTAGGTAACGTTACAATATATATACGAAGTTTAGTCAACATCATATTAACAGAAGGACAAAATAATGCAGCATATGTATATTGCAAAATATTTGCAAAAAGAAATTTACGAAAAAGTCACGCAGATTATTATATTATAATATATGTTTGTGTTATATTAACATGATTAAGTTATTATTTTCAAAGATTTAATTCTGTTGATTGCATCCTAACTTAATGACTCTGAGCATCATACAAACACGCATACTCGTTTTATTTACCTTATTTATTAAAACTTATGCAAACAGCAACGTTTCGAATGCACCTGGGCACCGGTTCAGCAATGTTACATCTAATACCTTAGGAAATAACTAATATTATTGGAAATAACTCAACTATTTTTGGCAATATTAATCCCAAAGAATCAGGGAGCAAACCAACACCACGGAGATGGCGTAAGTTTTACAGCTCTTAAAGCCGTATGTTTTAAATTTTGAAAAAATTAAGATACTTGAACGTGGCGTCATCTACAAAACTGGTATTCATTAAGCGAAAGATTAATAAAGATATTTTTTTGTCTGACGTGTGCAACTTCTTAAAAAAAATCAATTATTAATAAATAACATCTGTATCTAAAAGGAAATGAAATAAACGAAAATAAAGAATGGCAGATTAAAAAACAGATATATGAATGTTATATCATGCATGGTATATTTATTGAGCACGTGAAGTTTATCAGGATATTTCACAATGTGGCCATACCACGTGACTTTTCGGATACGGAACACGCCGATTTTTCACCCGATTCAGGTATGTTTTTTATTCATAACTTATTTATTACTCAACCGATTTTGATCAGATAAGGCGCAGAGTACCCGTAATTATATCAGCTATCCACGGTATATAAAAATTCTGAAAACCCCTGAATGGTTTTTGAGAACATTCGAGTACAGTTTTCTTTTCATAGCCTGGGCCGAGGGGAACGGTACACACTCATTTGGCATAACAGGCGATTTCTAGCAAGTCATATGTTTTTTGACACTATTTCATAGACATACACATGTTAAATCTGATATATTTACTATGTCCAATGTATCAAGTGAATGCAGTGATGTTTTAGCATATTTTCATAAAGTTATGTTGAAATGGTACGGAACACACTGTTATTTCAAAAGATACGGTACACACACAATTTCTGTCTTTGAAACAATTCTAAAATAAAATATATAAAAAAATTAATTTGAATTATAATGTGATTGATTTTTTTAGTTATACATTTTATTAATTTAAACGAGAACCCCGGGACCTGTTTTGCAAAGTATCATTATGCCTACAGTTTGATGTAAACAGGATTATTCAAAAAATAAAAGAATATTTTGAGAGTACGTTGCGCACAATTCGATTTTATATGTTGAGCAATTAATAATTGGCTATAAAATGTTAAAGTTTTAGGGAGGGTATCACATTATAATTTAAGACGTTCAAAATTTTGTTTTGTTTTGATTTTCATTTGAAAAAATTAGGTATATTCTTTTGGATTATAAAACGAATTGTGAAATTCATGGACATCTGTTATGTGCGATTATTATTTCATTTAATTTGTTTGTTCGAATATATAAATGACTGTCTAAACGTAGTATGAATATATAAACAAACAAGAAGTTAGGAGTAAGTTGGAAATATATGTTCCTTGCAAAATGTTGTTTAAATAGTCGAATTTGGAGAAAAAAAACGCTGGTTTTTGGTGTAAGTGGATTTTTTTAAATCACGGAAAGTTTAAAGTTTTTTTCGGCCACATGATATTTGGTATGAACATCTGCCAGGGTCCCAAACTAACTGCATGTATCTAAATTATCAAATTATCTACATATGGACAAATATATTTCGCAGTTTTACGTGCAATCAAATTTGATAATTTGAAGAACCCATATGGGAACAAGGCCTGTTATATATCGTAACGTAGTTTATACAAGGTAACCTTGTTACATATACATGTAAGGATATACATGATAGGAAATTTGGTAAAATTATGCCTATCTTGGACTTTCATTTCAAGATGCATTTAACACTTGAGTTCATGGATATGTGTTCTTGCATGTTTGTGTTAAAAATAAAATGATATTTTAATAATACCAATTTTGTTGTCAATCAAATGCTATGGATTTTGGAGGCTGCGTTCTGTTTTATATACTACATGAAGTAGGTACGAGACCACAAGTGACTTCGATGTTTCGATTTTTTATGTGAGAAAGTTTTCTTATTACCGTACAGAATGTCGGTCGTTTTACTCAGGTGCCCGTTCGTTCCTTTATTTATACCCAAAGGGGCACTTGTAAAACTTGAAAGTCGCCACATGATAATGTCAGTTTTATGAGCCGTGAAACCAAACCAATAATGACCTAATTACATGAACTAAAAGTTATTTTCAAAGCTTCATGCCTTTAAACATTAAAAATTTAAGCAATGGCGACTACATTTTTATTTGTTGGGTCGTCAGACCAAACAAATAATGGTAGCGAAATTTCAGGCTCTGATATGCTTATTTGCAAAATAAGAAAGTAGTCCGAAAGTAGAACCCCTGGAAGCGGTTACTTACCTTTATATGTACTCTAACGCTGAAAAAATAAGGGGGGATCACTGTGTTAAAATTGTCAAATGACGGGCGCATTAATTTTCAAGCCTTCTCGGGAGAAGAAAAAGTAGTTCCCGATTGGTCAAATATTTCAAATATTGTGTAATTCTTTACAGATATACATGTAATATGAAGCTCCATGATTATTTACATGAGTGTCAAACGAAATTAATAAGGGTTACAAACCCTAATTTAGAATGATATGGTTTCTTCAGGCTGTTATCTTATAACTTCCCCGTGGTCGAGGGGTAACGCGCGCGTTAAGGAAGAGAGATGTCCTGAGTTCAACCCCCATATGACCAAGTAACAAGAACCAATGGCAAGGAGCCCAGGCGGACCCCAAACATAAAAAGGACAGGGCAAAGACACGTTAATCATTAAATGATAAATAATTTGTAACTGATTAGGAATTCAAAGAAAATAATAATAGGCCCACAAAGGGGAAGGGGACAGGAGACCGGGGGAAGGGAAGGGGGGGGGGGGTAATCAAAGAAATAAAAACTAGAGGCAATGGGGAAGATACTTACCGTAGACGAGAAAAACAGAAAGGCAACTCATGTTGTTTTTTTTTTTTGTTTTTTTTTATTGTTTAAGCCAAATAAACAATGAATTACATACCAGTGTTGCAATAAGCCTTATAGCCAATTTCCTTCAGTTATGACACTAGAAACAACATTGGTGGCACTATACAAAAACAAATTGGTTTACAATCTCACAGCCTTCACCTTTCTGACATTCTGAGACCCAAACAAATTCAGCGCCTTCTGTGATTTGATTTAATTAAACATGACCATGATATTGCTAAATTGTACTTAATGACTTGCTTATTATTAACAAAATATAAATATATATAAATTGTTATCAAGTAATGATACTTTTCAGCGATTTAGGTCATGACCTTGTTTTATTTTTTTTCAGAGTGAAGCAAAAATACACATCTTACTTTACTTAAACTAAAAGAAATAAAAAACAACAATAAACAACAATAAACACATCACTATATAACAACATTTTCTTTCTATAGAGCGCAACTACCTGATTCTGTGAAGATCGAAGTGTTTAACATATCCTAGGTGATTTTAAATAGGACAAATACATGGAGGTTTTAAATGTTAAGCGTGATCTCTTGAAATAAAGTGCACAAATACATATAAATATTAAAAGTAAGCATTATGATACATTGCAAAACAGGTCCCTGGGTTCTCGTTTAAATTAATAAAATGTATAACTATGAAAAAAATCACTCACATTATAATTGAAATTAAATTTTAATATATTTTATTTTAGAATTATTACAAAGACAGAAATTGTGTGTGTACCGTATCTTTTGAAATAACAGTGTGTTCCGTACCATTTCAACATAACTTTATGAAAATATGCTAAAACATAACTGCATTCACTCGATACATTGGACATAGTAAATATATCAGATTTAACATGTATTTTTCTATGAAATAGTGCCAAAAACATATGACTTGCTAGAAATTGCTTGTTATGACAAATGAGTGTGTACCGTTCCCCTCGGCCAAGGCTATGAAAAGAAAATTGTACTCGAATGTTCTCAAAAACCATTCAGGGGTTTTCAGAATTTTGATATACCGTGGATAGCTGATATAATTACGGGTACTCTGCGCCTTATCTGATCAAAATCGGTTGAGTAATAAATAAGTTGTGAATAAAAAACATACCTGAATCGGGTGAAAAATCGGCGTGTTCCGTACCCGAAAAGTCACGTGGTATGGCCACATTGTTTCATAGGGTTAAACAACAGTCCGTGGGTGTGTCCTGAAATAATTAACTAGTGAATCTTTAAACACCAAAAAACTTAAACTGATTGCACCACTAAGTCCCAGTAATTTAAGTACATGTACATAGTATACCTGATATTTAGACTCCAATCGCATATATATATGAGCCGCGTCACGACAAAACCAACATAATGGGTTTGCGACCAGCATGGATCCAGACCAGCCTGCGCATCCGCGCAGTCTGATCAGGATCCATGCTGTTCGCTATCAGTCTCACTACTTGTAGTAGAGAAGCGAACAGCATGGATCCTGATCAGACTGCGCGGATGCGCAGGCTGGTCTGGATCCATGCTGGTCGCAAACCCATTATGTTGGTTTTGTCGTGACGCGGCTCATATATATTATACATTTAACATCAGTTTTTTTTGTAGCAGATAGCGGTATTACGGTGTTTACAAGGTGGTTGTGGCAGTATTATGTTATATCATTGTATTTAAAATGACTAAAGGACTAACACATTGGGCGGATATACTTACAACTGTTCTATACTTTGTCTTTGTTTTAGCTGTTGGACTGTGGGTAAGTTTAATTAATTAATAATGTCAAATAATGGCAGATAATAACATTCAGAATAATAATAATAATAATAATAATAATGATGATGATGATGATAATAATAATGATGATGATGATGATGGTTGGTGATGATGATGATGATGATGATAATAATAATAATAATAAGAACAATATAAATAATAACGATGATGATGATGATGATGATGATGATTATAAATTATAATAATAATAATAAATGATGTATATTAATTTATAAATGGAATAATAGTAATGTATATTAATATATAAATGAATGATATGTAAAATTTTAATGTCTATTTCACTCAATCAGTGATAATGTAACTTTGTCATGATTAACACGGGGGCGTTTGTTATAGTTTTATTTAAAACATACGTGTGCTATATATTACGTATTCGTTTTTATCCGGTCTTTGCGTAATGAACTGTATGTATGTAGGTTTTATGCGCCTCAAATCAAAGTGCTTAGAGTACTAGAAACAACAACAAAGTATGTGAGAGTGATGTGGAAAGGTATTTAGTGTTTATATGAAGGCCGGTCAATAACCTTGTGAGAGCAAGGTTCAACAGTCAAATTCAATTTCAACTTTTCAGTGGTAAAACACTTGTATAAAAGCCAAAACAATTCCGATAGCAATCAAATGGGGAATAAAAATCGCTTCTTTGAAAATTACATTTGCTAGATACAACCATTATATCACGTATTTCGCAATGTATGTCAGTCACTTAAGATACATTTACAACAAATCGACCTAAATGAACATGTACTGTAATTTCAGAATTATGTCAATAATAAAATGTTTGTCATAAGCCTGATTAGAACGTTGGAAATTGCCTCATCTTGAAATGCCAAACGATTTGTGAAATGCGGTCTCTACAACCTTGGCATTCGTAGCCGAGTGGTTAAGTAGCTGACTTAATACCACGTGCCCTTCAGAAACTTTGGATTATTGTATGTCAGGAAGCTAACCAGCTAGCTTACAGAATGTCGGAGGTCCTTAAAATCTTCCTCCACCAGTGAAGCTGTAAAATTGCCATATGACCTCTACTTTTTTGTTGCGAGGTAAAGCCCAACCGAAACCTTCTTCATTTTACGCTAGATCATTATAAATGTCAACATTTCTTTACATTATAACATTTTAACTTACAGTCGATATGGCGAAGAAAAAAGGGAAATGTGGAAGGGTACTTTCTCGCCGGAAGAGCAATGCCGTGGTTTGCTGTGCGTATCTTAAAAAACATTTCAAGCTATTCATTATTTTCACAATATCTCTCGTGAATAATAACTCTCCACCCATTTAAACATTACATACAATTAATATGAACTATTACAGACAGCAAAATGGATGTATATATTGCATGCATTGTTTTAAACAAATCGCAATATTGCGTCTGTTGTAATGAGACTGTATGCAGATACTCAAAGCATAAACAATGATAACATTTCTATTTTAGGATGTATAATAATTATAGTTTTAAAGTATGTTAGATACCATGTTAAAATAGTAGAGCTGATCGTTCAAAAATTTGCCATAAAGTAAGCAAACTGTATAAGTGGAAGCGAGCAAAAGATGATTTATCTATATGATCATCAGTAACTCATCTTTATTCTATAAGGCCATGGAAACTTAAACAGGACATTAACAAGTTTTTTTTAAACAAAGTGGTGGCATTTTTGTGGCTTAATAGTCCCTAAGGATCATAAAAAAATCTTGGCTGAAAACCGAGCCGAAATGGCATCTAAATCATTTATACGATTATACGAAAATGCTGTTTGCGACAGGTTGGGGCGTCTATTTTTGGAAGCAACATTGGTAGCGAACATTTCATTGGCTTAGCCGGATCAGGTGCGGCTGCGGGAATTGTATTTGCGCTCTTTGAATGGATTGTGAGTAAAGCAAATGACTGAATTTATCATTTTATTTTATGCTTTTCAGTGGATTACTGATTTATCCGTGAAAATTATATTTGATAATTTCACAGTGAAAATTATCAAAATATAATTTCACTTTTTTCAATGACGAAACTACTTTTTTAAGATTTTCCCCATGTGGTACCTCAATTTTATTTTTACGGACAATTCTGACAATGTCAGGCTGTTAAAAGAAATAGCAAAGCTGAAATAGATAAATAACTTAAATGTCAAAAGTAACACAGAGAGAAAACTTACTTCTATTCCTCAAATTCCAAACACCAAATTTTGTCTCTAAATTTTTTTTTGTTTCGTTTTTACAGTCTGAAAAATACATTCCTTCCCCATGCAAAACTGCTCTTGATGACATTTGGGCATATTAAAGTATCCTACGAGCAATAACTGCCGTATGCTTTATGAAAAATTGAAAAGCATTGACAGCCATCACTCGTAAAATAAGTAAATTAACCCAGCGTTCCTTCAGCAAGCTTCCAAGTTTTCCATTTTCCTAGCTCCTTTTCTGAATGTTTTCACTACTGTCAACCCTTATTTTTGTCTGTTACAATCCTCAAGTAAGTTTTCTTTCTTTTAAAAAGGTGTATGACTAACAAATCCAAATTATATCCTTCTGAATCTTACACAATTATTTTCCTCCCATGAAATACTAAACTTTAAAAAATGGCTGCCGTTTACATTTAAGAAAGCCAGGTCTAATATAAATTCGCAGTAAGTAACAGAAATATGGATGGATGGTTGGACTTTTCTCCTGCAAGAATTGTTTGTTTTTATTATTAAAACAAGCGATCATTCATATTTTTTTAATAAAATGAATAAATATCACCGTCATTTAACCTTGATTGGCGGACTTATTTTTCAGCTCAAGACTTCTTGTTTTAAATGAGAAATTCCGTCTAAATGGGGTTCTCAATGGGGGAAACAGATTTTAATATTAACGTAAAAATTATGGAAATTTCGTTTTAACTTGTTTTTAAGCATAAAATAAAAAGAAAATTTGTCTGTTTGTTGTGTAAGATGTAATTTTATTTCATCTCGTGAACTTTAAAAATTGTATTCTCACTCGTGGCTACGCCACTCGTGAGAATACTGTTTTTAAAGCTCACTCAATGAAATAAAATTTCATCTTACACACAAACAAACAAATATCCTCTATATAATTTAACTTTTAACTGATTTTTTTATTTTAAATATCTTGCTATTATATCATCTTAGCTTATTATATGAATTAGGGAATAAACAGTGTGTGTAATAAAAAATTTAAAGGAAAACAACAACATGTCAATCAATCATTCTAGTCATTAAAAAAGTGTTACATCAAACTGATATAATTTTGATAAAGGAAGAACAGTCAGGTGAGAAAATAGGCTAAAGAATAATATTATAGGTAAAAAAACACACAAAAACGAAGAAGATAATGACATTTCCTGCGTATAATTTACTATATCTTTCAGCCAGCATTGCTTATCCAAGTGCTTTCCTGGTTTTTTCTGCCTGTCTTCATATCAGCGGGGGTGAGTAATTTTCTTGACGTTTTATATATCAGAATATTCCAATTATTTTCTTCGTATATTAGCTTTGTAGATTCAGGGTGGAAAAACAACCAAACACACTGTGTTCGTTTCACTCTTGTGTCTATAATGATATTCGATGCGTTCAAAGAAAGTCAGATAAAAACTGAAACACTGGCTGGTGGTTTGCTTCGGATCAATAGTTATATCAAGTGTACTGCGGTCTATTTTCTCATTTTGATTCGAGCGTTTTATAAATATACAAAGATACAATATTTTACATAACTATTAGTATGTACATTTTTCTGTATAATTGGTTTGTTTTAAGATATGCTTTGTCATAATCATTGGAAAACGAATATAGTCAGACTTGTTCTTTTGAATTGTTTTTTATTAGAACTAACTTAATTATTCAATATTGAAAATGTATTGTAAATGTATATTGATCAATGTATTACAACATGTAAGTCAAAATAAAAGTATGTTCTGTTATGTTCTGAAAGAGGGTATATTAAATGATAAAATTACATAAACAAGAAACACTAGCTTTTAATTTTTTTAATTTCATCATTACTCTTCATTTAATTACATGTAACATTTAGAACGAAATAAAAAATGAAAAAAAAAACATAAATGAAATAATAAATTAAGAAAAGTAAATTAAAGTAAGCAAGTAGATAGACGTATAAAAAAGTGAAGTAAAGTAAGGTAAGAGGTAAGGTAAGGTAAGGTAAGGTAAGGTAAGGTTATGAAAGGTAAGGTAAAAGCAAAGTGAAGTAAAAGCAAAGTAAAAGCAAAGTAAAGTAATAAAAATAGCAACATTTTCGTTCTATATAATTCAGGTTATTTGCAATTTAATTCGAATATTTTTTTAAAGAAATAATTTACTAGATATATCAAAACAAACAATCGAAATACTGATATCATGCTTATTTTGGAAAACAACGGAGCTGGAAATGATATTCATCTTCAACAACACTAGGAGAACAAAGTTTACAATCTCGTTCGTATTTACAATAACAAGAATTTATTTTTTGTATTTAGAAAAATTTATGACTAGTTGACGTGAAAGAATCATTTTAGTATGTTTTGGCAACAACAACAAAATAATCTTCCAATTATTTTATAGGTGTATACGTTGCCAGAGTATATGCAGAAAAGGTTTGGTCGGGAGCGCTTAAGGATTTACCTCAGTGGACTTGCATTATTTCTACACATCATCAGCCGCTTGTCGGTATAAACATAATATATACAAAAATATCAGTTTAAAATGGGACAATTAAACGGTTTGATAAAAAATGCATATATTTTTATGTAATTATGTAATGGGTATCGTTATATTTAACAAAATATGTCACTTAAGCCGCCGAATATATATTTTTACAATAAGAAACATATTTTAATTATCTAATCCAAGACTGCTACATGGTACCAATCAATCGGAACATATTCGGCTATTATTTATAATTCGAAGACTGAGAGAAAAAGCCGAAAAGTTGCGGCTTCATCACACACTACACCATGTCATTAGTTTTAAACATATTTCATTGCAGCACATACATGTAAACATATTATAAAAATGATAAGCATATAACAAAAAGCAAATGGATTTGGCAACAAGGTCTAGCAACATTAGATATGACGTTTTATACGGCTTGTCGAAAGGTCGGTCTTCCATTTTCAGAATTCGTGAAAAACATGGCGGCCAGAAACGGACAAAAACTCATTTACTGCTTAACATTGAGAACCTTAGCATAACTGGGACCTGAAATCCCAGCAATGTGCATGTATATATATTTTGAATATGACAATAAGGGATGAGGATTTATTGTAATCAAAGTTTTTAATGCATATACTTAAAAACTACATACATCTAGATTCCATTCTGACTAAGGTTCAGGACTACTTAAGTTATTTATTGCAATGCGTAGCGTTATTTAGGAGCTGATTTTTTAATCACATTGATCTAGATTTGTAATGAATATATAATTTATTCTCTTCAGGCGACAATATTTTCTGGGGCTGTGTATGTCCAACTTGCGCTAGGTTGGAATATGTACCCTTCCATTATTGGACTTCTATTCATAACTGCAATATTCACAATACTTGGTATTTAAAGATTTATTTTAATCAAACCATATTTTCTTTCACACAAAACTTTGCAGTAACTCTCGGACAATAATACAAATGCACACTTAAATTGTGGTTTAAAGTAATTAACGAACCTGCCGTAACATGTAGTTGAAATCGAATGTTTTGAGTAGTTATCTATTTTTGTTCTTACAGAACTGCGTTATTGCCGTAAGAAATATACCTAAATAATAAAGTATTATAATTATAGTTTTGTTCCAGTTATGCAATGGTGTTTGAAGCAAATATTGTTTTTAAACATCTAAGATTTGAAATAACAAAAAGCTTTTAAAATTGTCTTTAAATTTTAACGGTTTATCCGGCATGTATCTTTTGTTTTATTGTAATTCAAAGGAGGTCTAACAGCCGTAATGTACACAGACACGGCACAATCAATAATCATGGTTATTGGATCTTTCGTTGTTCTTGGAATAAGTAAGTATATCAATTAAATATTGTATATCTTTTGTATATTTATCAGGTACATCAGCATTATTTTTGCCTATCAAAATAGATAAAACAATAAATTGCATCCTTAAAAGCACATATATACTTGATGTAAATGATGTAAAGGTATATAAGTAACTAATATATATTTGAATTTCCATGAAATTAACAACATTTCTACTCATAGTAGGTGAGACTTTTGGGCGGCCGCCACCCATCGTCTAATAGAAAAGCTCTATGACGGAGAAATTTATTGGACACCAAAACGTTCTATTTTAAGATGTATACAATTGCTGAACATTGATAGCTCTAAATCTCCCTTTCTCTTTCTTTTTTTTATTTTTTAATATAAATGACGCACATTGTTATAACATGAGAATTAGTGCAAATCAAGATACAATCTAAAAACAATCTGCTCTTCTTTAATTGGTATTCAATATTGAGAATGTTTAGAATCATTGTTGTCACCTGATTATGTCGCAGTGAATAAGAAAAATATTAGAATACGTATATGTGGCCATTTTGTGTTACAAGGTTTGGACAAAATTGGCGGATATGAAAATTTAGAGGCAGAATACCAGAAAGCAATTCCTTCAGTGCATCTGCCTAATTCTACTTGTGGTATACCACGTGACGATGCTTTTCATGCCCTTCGTGGTCTTGATGCAGATTACCCTTGGCCTTCCATGCTTCTACAGTGTGCAATTGCCTCGGCTTGGTACTGGGTTTGTGACCAGGTGCTTTTTCTCTCAATTTATTATACGTTATAAGTATGTATAAAATTAATATATCAATTATAATAACATAAAAATAAACATATTTTATTATCTTCTATGCCGAAATTAATCAAACAAGCTCCTGTATCATCCGGATCATCAAACTCTGGCTCTAAACAGTTCACTGCTTTCAATGTATGAAATAGTAGTGACGGAATGTTACGGAAATGACCGAAACTTAACTTTTGGTGATTTGGTATAACAGTTGTGCAGCAGACAATCCCGTCATGAAACAAAATGTGATGGATGCTTTTTTTGTACGGCGGCCATGAAAAATAGACCTACATGTAGTTAACTAGTTTAGTACAGGAGAAATGTTGTGAACAATCGTGCCAACTTATGTCGTCTGCAAGTTTTAGAACGCTGGTATGTGACTGGTACTTTTTGTACTTTAACTAACTCGCACATTACCCAAACGCACCTACAAACATGCTTACATGTGGCAATAGATAATTTATTGTTAACTTGTCACAATTAGTGCATATTACTTTGATTTTAGATTTTATCAAGAAACATTGACAAAACATTCATTATTTGAAAATTACATTGCATATTTTTAGATTGTCCTTAAAAATAAACACCAAAATGTAAAAGAAATCCGTTACCTTTATTTATGTTTTGGTGATCCAAGATACATAACTCTGTTTAGATACAAACGTTTTATAGGAATTAGACATGATTTGTGAGATTGTATAAGAAAAACAAAACGTTTAACGAACGCTGTTGTTGACAGATAATGGTACAAAGATGCCTTGCCGCCAAAAATATCAGTCATGCTAAAGGTGGAACGCTTCTTGGGGGCTTTCTCAAAATACTTCCTCTTTTTATAATGATGATACCCGGTATGATCAGCAGGTGCCTGTATCCAGGTAATCGTTTTATACAGTTTTCTCTATATGCATCATTAAACAGTAAACGCAGTAGATATTTTAGTATCTAGGTTAGGTATTATTACAGTTTTGTCTATATAGATCGAAATGGTACCCGAAGTAGAGCTTTTTGCGTACTAGGAAATCTTGTTTTATATACCTATGTCTATCTACATCGAAATGGCAAACGTAGAAGATTTATGAATGTAGGTTCGCTATTTTATACAGTTTTGTCTATTTACATCGAATTTGCACTCGTAGTAGAGCTTATTTGTTCAATTGTGTCTACCTACATCAGAAAGGTAAAAGCAGTTGATTTATTATATGTAGGTAGGCTTTTTTGAAAGATCGAAGTGGTACACGTTTAAGATTTTTGTACGTAGGTAATCTATTACGCAGTAGATTGTTTTACCTTTAGGTAGGCTACTTGTACAGGTTTTTGCCATCAAAATGGAAACGTAGTAGATTTTTGCTATCTAGGTGGGCTATTTTATTACAATTTTTGTATTTACACCATCGGAAATTGCTAAAAATTCTAAAGTACAGCTTTTTTGCGTAAGTAACAATTAGTTTATTAATGCTAATACATATAATTTATAATTAATTTATATTATATACTCGAAATTTGGTAAACCGTAGTTAAATTTTAGTATCTATTTGGGATATTTTTACAGTTTTGTCTACCTACATCTAAATGGGCCACTCGTAGGAGAGTTTTTTTTTCTAAGTAATCTTACTTTATACTATTTTGTCTACCTAAAACAAAATAGCAAACGAAGTAGATTCATAAAATCTAGGTAGGCTATTCTTACAGATCAAATTGGTACTCAGTTAGATATGCTAATACATTTATTATTTATGTTTGCAGCGGAACTTTATTCATCCTCCTGATTAATTATACCTAATCACGCACGTAGCACTTTTCTTAACACTAGCGAGGTCAAACTGAAATGGCTTTTTCCGTATGTTTATGCTATGTTATAAATAGAAAATCAATTCTGCGTGAATCACGGGTCACCTAATTTTCTTTTTGTTTTAAAGCAAGACTATCTTCTTGAATATACTCTGTTAATTGATGTTTTTATTTCAATTTACCCTCTAGATGATGTGGCATGTGCCGACCCTGAAATATGTAAATCTGTGTGTGACAATGCTGCCGGATGTTCGAACATTGCATATCCGAAGCTCGTGATTGAGATTCTACCTAAAGGTTTGATTAATTGGAACATTGTTCCATTGTAATAAAATTGTTATTTTAATCAAGTACAGCAATAATGAATATTACACATGTATAAGAAACGCAAGTTGCAAGGCAGACGGCATACCAGAACGGACCCAGACAAAAGCATAATATAGAATAACAGAAACCCATACGTGCTAACTAAGAACTGTTTCTCTAGTTTTGGAGGCTAGTTCAACAAACACGTAAATATCTTCATTCCAATGCAATGTTTAAAACAAGCATTACAGTGCCTGTCAGATTAAATTTTTTTCTCAGGAAGATTTTTAGTAATTTTAATTGTTGTTCCTGGAATTGAATTTGCGAATTTGACTTTGTAAAAAATTCATAAAATTCCAATAACACTTTTACATTGATTTATTGCATTGGATAATTTTGTTTATTTATTGCTCATTTTTTAGCGCACGTAGCCTCATTATAGCGGTGGTACTTTCAGCTACTGTGAATCATTTCGTTCGATTATTATGCTTAACTCCTACTCATTTTAAGGCGCACGTGGCCTCATTATGGCGGTGATGCTGTCAGCTATTGTGACGTCATTGACGTCAATATTTAACAGCTCTAGCACGGTTTTCACGATGGATATATGGAGACGATTCCGACCTAAAGCTCACCAAAGAGAATTGTTACTTGTTGGAAGGTACAGTCAATGCACAAATTCAAAAAGTGCATAATTAGTTTCATAATATTCTATTGCAACTATTTTATACAGCAATAGATATAGAGGATATTCAAGTTTTGTATATAAATACATGATTCACGGTAGGGAATCACGTGACTTTTACGGTTACGCGTACAGACAATATGGCGGCCTAAAAACCTCGCTTCACGTGTGTTTTTCAGGTAATTCTTTATTATATCCCTTTTACTTACATACGAGACCTGTTGCAGCCTACGCGGAATAAAGAATTGTTGCTGCCTATACCTTATTTTCCACCCCTGTGCTCATAGCTTTTACAAACACTCAAAAATTCAACAGAAATTTTCAATGTCGACAATTATTTTTCGGGTAACATTCACGCAAAATTTGTATTTTTTATGATTTTGATTAAACTACGTCGAGTTAGCAAAGAGAAAATGTTCATAGAAGTTCTTTATTTAAAAATGTAAATGTTAGGCATGTTAAATGTTGACTGGTCATTTTCTATTCCATTACACGAGAGAAAAATGATCTGGGTAACTCCCACGCGTACTTTTATTGTTGATAACTCCCACGCAATATTTTATGTGCAAGCGATATCTTTGCAGGTTAAAGCCTAGATATTGATTGAACAAAATCCTGATTGATGCATTTAGCCTTAAACATTCATAGAATTTTGAATAATATTAAAAATACCGCCAATAGGTCCTTTATAGAATTAAGCCCCTATGGATAGCAGAATACATACTCACGTGAATATATTAAATTTAGTTTCGATATAGATGAATTAATCGCAGAAATTAAAATAAAAGTCTCATATATAAGAAGGATATCGATTTCAGTTTAAGCACAATTACAGTTGTCATTTTTCATAGTTTGCAGATATGGACGGTTTCAGCTCGGATATTGTTTGTGGATAATGTTGGAAGACATTTGTCTAAATGACCACATCAGCTGGCTACTCGGCACAGGACCTTTTAAATGTTGTGGCAAATCGAAACGTCACAGATATGGCATTTTACTGTTATTCGTAATATTAAGATATTTAAAGACATTCAAATCATTTTATCACTTCTAAAAGGCTTTTATGTAACCAATTATTTTTCAAATTAGTGTCTGTATTTAACATTATTATGTTGTGTTTTTTTTAATCTAAAGCAAAAAAGAAAACAACCTAAAGAATATTAGAATGGGTCTTTTATTTTACAAACTAGGTAATAAAATCTAGAGGACTTATGTTTGAATATCATCTTAATATTAACAGTTAAACCCGTAACGTTTCCGATTTGCTGGGCTATAAAATGTTTTACCACAACATTTATAAGGTCCTGTGCCATGTAGACTGTTTATGTGGTCATCCGTGAATGAAATGTTTCCCACATTTATCACAAACAATATCCGAGATGGAACCTTCCATATCTGCAAAATATGAAAAATGACAACTGTAATGATGCTGATAAAAACAGAAATACAAAACCTCCTTCTAATATTAAAGACTTTCGTATCAAAACGCGACCTAATTGAATGATTCGGGTTTGGTAGGCCTTACGCGAAGTTATTGATGTCCTTGGCAATTTATGTTTTTACAAGTCATGCCTTTTTGAAATTTATTTATCATATTATTGTAACCAGTGTTGTACGGCCCATATAATTTACGCCCCAAGACGATTCGTCAATCTAACTGTATTTATATCTTAGTGATAGTAAAATTAAGTGTGAATTAGTTTGAAAAATACATTTTATCAATTGCATTATCAAAACAAATATTGATTAAACTGTTTGAGATTAAATAACAAAGTTGAGTGTTAAATTTTAAGTTGAATTGCCGTGAATTTATAGGGAATAATAAATCTATTTTTATATTCTAGATCCTGGTCCTGGCTGAAATTTAGAGTATTGCAGCTGTAGCTTGTATTTCATAAATTTAAAATGGAAAGGACTGTCAGGTTTGTTAAATTGAAATTCTAATATTTATAATATATATATTTTATATTTCTTTACAAAGTATAAATATTTCAACTACTGGATATTTATCTTGTCTTAATAATATATTATTTTTCAGAATACGTTTGTAACATTATTAATATAAAATTTACATATTTGTTGTTTACCGGATGCTGCATACAATGGTCTTAGCTAGAGCCTTGAATGCATATTTCTTGGGAAAATGCTGAAGTAACTGATAGGAGCAGTTATGTTACCAATCATAGGTCAGACTTAAATAGTTTTATGTACATAATTTGCTGTCAATATGAAACTTCAGCTGTATCTTAATTTCTATGCTGTTTCATTATGTAAATCTTAGAGATAAGCGTTTTAAGATAAAACAAATCACTAAGTTGATTAATTATATATATAATTTGAGATTGACCAAGTCAATTTTAACTAGTAACTTCTTATTTATTTGCAGAATCAGTAGAAGTATTCAAACACCATCATGAAACACTTAAGACGTACCCAGAGAGATCTAGAAGAAGTACTAGTAGTAGATTGGAACAGATTGTAGCTTAATTGTTAAACTAAAAGGACTTCTTAAATCGTTTGAATTTAAGCTTTACTTGAACTGTATTTTTGAAATAAAATAGCTGAAGTATTTAATAGTGTCAATTTCAACTTTTTTTAAACTTTCAAATTCGAACATAAATCCAACGTTATTTCAACGTTGAAATCTGACCATAATTCAACGTTGTTCAACGTTGATGTGCCTGCTGGGTTAATTCTATCAAGGACCTATTAGCGGTATTTTTAATATTATTCAAAATTCTATGAACGTTTAAGGCTAAATGCATCAATCATGATTTTGTTCAATCAATATAGATCTAGGCTTTAACCTGCATAGATATCGCTTGCACATAAAATATTGCGTGGGAGTTATCAACAATAAAAGTACGCGTGGATGTTACCCAAATCATTTTTCTCTCGTGTAATGGAATAGAAAATGACCAGTCAACATTTAACATGCCTAATATTTACATTTTCAAATAAAGAAATTCTATGAACATTTTCTCTTTGCTTACTCGACGTAGTTTAATCAAAATCATAAAAAAATACAAATTTTGCGTGAATGTTACCCGAAAAATAATTGTCGACATTGAAAATTTCTGTTGAATTTTTGAGTGTTTGTAAAAGCTATGAGCACATGGGTGGAAAATAAGGTATAGGCAGCAACAATTTTTTATTCCGCGTAGGCTGCAACAGGTCTCGTATGTAAGTAAAAGGGATATAATAAAGAATTACCTGAAAAACACATGTGAAGCGAGGTTTTTAGGCCGCCATATTGTCTGTACGCGTAACCGTAAAAGTCATGTGATTCCCTACCGTGTGATTTATTTTCATCAAGTGGTATGAAAATAAATATTTCATGAGTGGCGGTAGCCACTAGTGAAATATGGTAATTTTCATGCCACAAGATGAAAATAAATCATGTATTTATAGAAAAAAACTTGAATTTTCTGTTTATTATATATACATTTTTCTCTTTTTTGACATTAAAATTTGAAAGACTTTCCCTTAAATTTTGTGTACTGGCAGAATTTAAAAGAAAGTAGTCCGGCAAGACACCAGTGAAAATACGGAAAATATGTTTCACTGCAGTGAAAAATAAATTTTTACAGTGAAAATACGGAAAATGAAAATACGCATTTTATTTCATCAATATTTCTCAATATTTCATTTGTAAGTATATAATAAATAAGGTTATATGAATGATATAAAACAAATACATGTATTTACTAAGAGATATTGTGCAAATGGGTTGGGCTATGAGTGATGACAACAATAATACGGTATATTAATAAAACAACACAATTACACATGGCCTCAAGGTTAATCTTTTTTTTTCTGAGTTCTGTCTCGGAATCTTATTGGTCAATGCACATATATGTCGTTTTATATCAATTAAATACCAGAGAGATGAGTTGGAGCTTTGGACATTTCTTCATAGCTTTGAAAACAATGGTCATATAAGGTCAATAATTCATTAAGATATATACATTCATTTACAAAAACAGCTTTAATCAGGATTAAAAATATGAGCCGCGTCACAACAAAACCAACATAATGGGTTTGCGACCAGCATGGATCCAGACCAGCCTGCGCATCCGCGCAGTCTGATCAGGATCCATGCTGTTCGCTTACAGACGCTATAACAAGTAAAGATGCTGATAGCGAACAGCTGGATCCTGATCAGACTGCGCGGATGCGCAGGCTGGTCTGGATCCATGCTGGTCGCAAACCCATTATGTTGGTTTTGTCGTGACACGGCTCATATTATCTGTATGACAACATGTATATGTTGATTTAGATTATATCACAGAGAAACGTCTTGTTGATATATCTTGTAGTTTCAGAGTTATGTTCCGGACAATGTTCACAGTGTCAAAAAGGTTTGTTCACAAAGGGCAATAACTCCAAAATTAGGCAAGGCACAGTAACGTTTCTTTTGCAAAGCACATCTACTCAATGAGATCTATTTACCTACAAAGTTTCTTGTTGATACCTCTTGTAACTTAAGAATTATGTCCCGGACAAAGTTTAGTGTAAAAACGACCAAAGGTCAATAACTCGGGATGTTTCTGCAAAAAAATTCTTCTTGGCCAAACGGCATTTTTTTGGCAGAAACATCCCTCGATGTCGCCCAAACCACTGTTATACCCCCATAACTTACTCGTTATATACTATAATAACTATTACCTTTAAAATACGTTGTTAATTCAGGGCATACATAATAGTCCTGTGTATACTGACAATATTATGGATACCTGTTGTCAAGGCAGCACAAGGAGGACAACTCTTCAGTTACATGGTTGTTGTCGAAGGTTTTATAACAGCTCCTTTGCCAATATTGTTTGGCCTCGTTGTATTCTGGAATAGAACAACAGAACAGGTAAGTATTGTTGCGGATTTACGCCTTGTCATTTTATGTAATAATTTTGTCAAATTTTGTCGTCTTTTTGACCTCAAGAGTGCGCAAATGCAAAAACACAAAGTTGGACGTCGTATCCTCGTGTTTTTGTATTTTCGTGGAAGAAAAGCAGATTTACAACATGGCGTAAATCAGCCACCGTAGTTTAGCCCTTTTTATTTAACCAAACACTAACTTAATTTGTATAATAGATTTACTCTGCTTTTAATTCGGAACAATCCATTCAAAGTTCGAAGGGATTTTAATTCAAAACTAAAAAAATCAGCTTCCGATAGTTTAAAGCCTAAGCAGAGTGCGTACTGGTGGCGGTAAAGGCTCCAGCATGTTAAGGGGATGTCTTCAATAACAGCTGTTGTGCAAAAAAATAGCGCCATGTATGCCATATCCGGCGTGCACGTTTATTTTAGCATCGACTAGGATATTCGCATTTAAGGAAGAAAGAAATGGTATTCTTTTGCCAAAAAACAACCCAGAGAACAGAACTAAATTATTAAATTAGATGTCTCTGGGTTGAATGACCGACAATATAAATTTTGGAGGAAGACCAAATGTACCCTTCTGTGCATTAGTTCAGTCATGAACGAGCTCTTCAGTAGAACCACCAATCTTCCTGATATAGCCAGATCGATAGTTGTTTACACGTCCATTGCAGGAATCAAACTTATAGCTACGAGGACTTAAAGATTCTAAGTCACTCGGTCATGAAGGTCCCATTTTATCTTTATATGCAAAATATTTAAAAACTTATTACATATTTTCTCACTGTTGACATTTTTCTACATCTGATTATATGTAGAAATAGTGCCAAATTCAAACATAACATGATAGTAGCCCGTGATGATGAAGGTTTTTTTTAAAAATTGTTCTTACCAACGAAAATATGCTTACACTTACGTATTCAAAACACACTCCTAAATAGGGAAGCACTTTAAAATTAGCATGCACAATCATAGTCAAGTTGTCATTATTTAGTAGGCCTCAAAAAGTTATATTCTTATTATGTTTTGGTCATGATATCATTCATCTATGTCAAGGTCTCCAAATTGTAATGTCTTTACTTCAATTCAATGTCATACTTCCATATCTTTCAAGGATTTGCGAACGTTTGTAAATGCGATGTAAGTGCTAGCAGTAAATATATGCCAAATCACACCGTATTACCGGTATCAGTGATGAAAATGATCTAAAATGTACTGTTTACTTAATAGGTTATAGAATTGGTCGGCATATATGTTTTATTACGCAAAAAGGCCAATTTCATTGTTACTTACTGTCAATTGAATGGATATAATATGCGGTCATTTTGAACTGGTTTCCCATTTCATAAAATATTTTGAGCAGGTTGAAAATGAAAGTTCAAGAAAAATCATGTACACAAAGTTAGTTCCCTATTCCTTATTCCTTTTTCGAATAAGGAATAAGTTCCTTATTCCTTTTTCGAATAAGGAATAAGGAACTAGTTCCTGATTCCTTATTCACATCTAAATAAGGAACAGCAGGATTAGTATTTATTTAAAATAAAATTATCAGAAAACTAGAACGGTTCTTTCTTTCACAAATCTGTTGAAAGATGCACAAATCAATCATCAAAATCATAGAATAAAGCAACGGCATCGACCTATTTTTAAACAATAGTCAAATCGAACAAGGATTAATAAACCCGTTCCTTATACCTCATTCAAATCATTGCATAAAGAATCTGCATAAATTATTTTGAAAAAAAAATGTTAAAGTCGAATAAGGAATAGGGAACCATATCCTTATTCCTTATTCAACTCCAAATAAGGAACAGAAGGAAATAGGTAAGTAAAGACACCAGTTGCAGTTATTTTTGATAAATATGCATTAGAATTGCAAGGATCAATCATAAAAATCACGAAATAAAGCATTGGCATAAAACTATTTTGAAAAAAAAAAAAACATTTTCAAGTTCATTCGACTCCAAATAAGGAACAGAAGTAATTACGTAAAGAAAGACACCAGTTGCAGTTATTTTTGATAAATCTGCATTAGAATTGCAAGGATCAATTAATTAAATCATGAAATAAAGCATAAGCATAAAAATATTTTGAAAAAAAATGTTAAAGTCGAATAAGGAATAGGGAACCTGTTCCTTATCCCTTATTCAACTCCGAATAAGGAACAGAAGAAAATGCGTAAAGAAAGACACCAGTTGCAGTTATTTTTTGAAAATATTTTATGTTTATGCTTTATATCATGATTTTAATGATTGATCCTTGCAATTCTAATGCAGATTTATAAAAAAAATAACTGCAACTGTTTTTTTTCTTTACGTAACTTCTTCTGTTCCTTATTCGGAGTGGAATGAACCTGAACATTTTTTTTCCAAAATATTTATATGCTAATGCTTTATTTCATGATTTTAATGATTGATCCTTGCAATTCTAATGCAGATTTATCAAAAATAATTGCAACTACGTATTTTCTTCTGTTCCTTATTCGGAGTTGAATAAGGAACTGGTTCCCTATTCCTTATTCGACTTTAACATTTTTTTTCAAAATAATTTATGCAGATTCTTTATGCAATGATTTGCACGTGGTATAAGGAACAGGTTCATCCAATCCTCTTGTTCCCGATTTTGGGACTATTGTTTTTAAAAATAGGGCCCCCGATGCCCGGTTTGCTTTTATTCCCTTTTTGATTTTTATGATTGATTTGTGCCATGTTTTTCTAATAGATTTTGTTGAAAGAAAAGAACCGTTTCTAAGTTTTCTTGATTAATTTTTTTCTAAATAAATACTAAAATTCTGCCTGTTCCTTTTTTAGATGTTAATAAGGAATCAAGAAACTGGTTTCCCCTTATTCCCCTTATTCGAAAAAGGAATAAGGGAACTGATTCCCCTTATTCGAAAAAAAAAAAAAGGAATAAGGGGAAATAGGGAACTAAACTTTATGTACATGATTTTTTCTTTGGTTCAAAATATCTCAAGTTTTCAAGTTTGAAATAAATGAAAGGATTTCATACTTATCATAATATATACATATAATAGATATTAATATAAACAATTATCACTTTGACTCAGGCTTGCAAAATATCAACCCAGTGTGTCTTTTCTTGAGAACGTTACTGGCGTCCAAACTTGCACTGTCGAAGTGAAAACGCTGCCGTTGTAGACTTACATGTATTTTCGAAGCTGCGACGATGACAAAACTATGCTTCGAAATTCACTAACATTCTGACAAAAAACCCAAAGATCACTCCTTGAAATTAAATTTTTCCTTTATTTTTTAATCCGTCCGTTTTTAAACCACAATTTAGAACATTAAAACGATTAAATTTTTCAATATTTTTCTCATGACAAAAAATGCTTTAATTTCTATTTCCCTAAATCTTTTTATTCTTAGTGTCCGGTTATAGTTTCCAAAAACGATACTAATTGCCAAATTAGCTGAATCATCTTTTGTTTCTCTTTGTATTGGCAATAAGTACAAATATAGTGATTAAGTATTTTGTATAGAAGTCAAATTTCTACTTTGTTTACAGTTTTCAACTTTTATAATAAATAGATTTTCATTCAGCGATGCATGTATTTTGTTTGAAGCATCAAATGTCATATGAATTATTATTTAAACATTATAAAACTCATGTTTTCCCTATCTGAAGGAGGTACACTTTATTTGTTTCTGAGGCATAATGTGCTTTTAATATTAACAAAGTGCTACATTCGATGCATATAAAACGTATTTTATGCAGAAATAAAATAATTATGTAACGTGTATATACGAAAAGATGATGAGTAGGAAAAACTGTGAACTCAAGATTCTCCTAGAAATAATATATGATCTTTTTAGAATTTCATAGCAGAATCTTATTCCCCGCTTGGTGTGCATTACTATTGATGTATATATACAAATCTAGACATGTCTGTTTAATTTGGCCTCCGTATCAATAAGTATTACAATAAGGAAATGACATGTTTTATTATTCGTATACTCGTATATTCGTATATACATATTCGTATTAATTAAGCTTGTCAGGGTCGGTACTGGAAAATCCAAGCTATCATTCACGCTCCCAACATTTTGAAGATAGAAACGTCCGCAGATGTACCCATACTGAGGTTTAAAATCATGTAACTTTTAATGTGGCACGTGTAAGTGCCATTTCATAAAGCGCTATGTATAGTCCACAAGTTAAATAATGCATGTGCCCTAAAAGAAAATAAATAAATAAGAAAATAAATCAATAAGAAATAACGGATGAAACTATATAATTGGAATTTAAAATGGGATCAAAAGTTATGAATCTTCATATCACAGATAGACTGTCAAAAAGCAGTAACACTGACACTATACATGCAATTATAGTCATAGGCGGCTTTCTTGCTTGACTAGTGGGAGAATTGAATATAACTCTAGGTATAGCACGACAATTGAGTACTTCGCGTTGTGTCTAGTGGAATTTATTAGAGCAGCACAAGTTCTGATAGAATACTAATACAAATCAAACTTTTAAAACAGTTTTTATTTCTCGGTTAAATAGTCCCTTATTCCGCGATTACAAATAAATGTATAACAACAAAATAGCTCTCCGTTTATTAATTATAACATGCGAATAGAAAAAGTACGTAGCTTAAATGAATAAGTAAAACAAGAGTATCAAAAGCCGCCCTGACGCTTGAATTGGCAAAAACTTGACTTAACGTGATCTAAGAAAGTATCCACCCAGAATGCGCGCTTTGTTGAGTGCGCGGGTCTATTTTATGAAGTTCAGTTAAATTATTGCAGGTCATCGGGGTTAATTAATCATGCAATCAACTTTTGACCAATCGGATCGGTTTTAACCTATTTCTGCATGTTTCGTAAGCTGAAACCCCGGCCAAACCTATAAAAATATCCCATATTTTAGAAATACCGTACTTTGTGCTGAATAATGCTGACTGCATTGCTCTTGGTCATCAGTTTTGCAAGAGGCGGAATATAACAACCTCCCGCCACA